TACCAAGTTTGCAGGGCAGCAGGGCTTCCTCCTCCTTCTGCTATGCCATCAGGGAAGTGGGAGAGGAGTAGGACACAACAGAAAAGGTCTTTTAGTTGTGGTGTAGGTACTGGAAACAAGTGCTGGAGAGCAGAGGAAAGCCAAGCTTGTAGAGTGGCAAAACTCTGTCTAATTCTGTGATCGAATTATGAAGTTTGCACCAGCTCTTCTGTGAGTGAGCCTCTTCTGAAGCCTCCCAATGTTCCCATGAAAGCTAAAGGAGTCTGAGTGCCCCTTTTTGAAATTGTTTATTAAGTGTGTGTTCAGCATTTGCCAAAAACTTCATTTGCTTTAAGGGCAAAGACTGAAGTTAATGATGTCCATAGATGTGTTTCTCTCACATACTTTTTTCCAAGGGTGGCAGCACAGATTTGAGTGTGAGATAACTATTATGATCCCATGACTGAACATCATAGTAATGACTAGTAGTATTTATTTCCAGTGTAAGTTGATGGTGCCAAGATTGGGAAGCAGCAGATATAGTAGGTACTTCTTTATCTCCTTTAACAACTATTTCATTTTCATCTGTGTTGAATATTATCACCAGTTTTTATAAAGTACTTTGTATTAAAGAACAGCACTAACTACAACAGTAACAAGTCTTTTCTAAGGCTATTACAAATCTAAATGTGAGGAAATTTAAAATGTTTTGTGTGTCCCTATCAAACACACTAAACTAATAAAAGAATAAATTATGAAATATTTGGAGGTGAAAGCAATATAAGCAAATATAAGTATGCATGCTTATAAGCTGCGACTAGTTCATTAATTAAATAACTTACCTGTAAGTATTTTCATAGAATGGCCTGGGTTGAAAAGGACCACAATGATCATTGAGTTTCAACCCCCCCGCTATGTGCAGGGTCGCCAACCACCAGACCAGGCTGCCTACAGCCACATCCAGCCTGTACAAAGACTTATTTCTTCTTTTCTCTCCTTTTTAGATTTTAACTTCATATTTTCTTCATTTAAGCATTAAGAGCCTTATTGGTACACATTTTTGCCCTTCATGTTGTTTGTATAAACTTACAGGTTAGTTTTCCTGTGTAACGTACTTTCAGGAACCTGCTTTAGCAGGGGGTTGGAATGATGTCTCCAGAGCTGCCTTCCAACTTCCAGGGTTCTGTTAGTCTACTCATCTCTGATTCGCACAGCTTAAACTGATCATCAACCTTTTGTGCTGCTCGCGGAACCAAGAGCAACCAGGCAATAAAGCAAATTGTTGAGCAGGATCAGCTAGAGATTTCCCCTGCCACGTCTCCCAGCACGTGTACTTGTAATTCTCCTGGTAGATGTTTTACAGCTGTGTAAACACTCAATTATGTGCTGCTTCTTATCTAGGGTACTTTCTTTGTTTCAACAACTATAATGCTGATCTTAATTCTGTGTATAATGTTTCCCCTACCAACTCAAACAACTCTTTCCCTTGAGTTTGAGTTCTTAATTGCAGCTTTAAAACAACTTTCTGATTTAATGTAACATTTCTCTCCTTTTGATCTTGAGACCTGCTTCAAACACGATGTAATTGAGCATGCATCAGCCACATATTAAACATTTTGTCTTAAAAATTGCTTTTAACCTGAAATTGCCCCCCTGTGCTTAATTTGTTGGTGCAGGAAGGTCTTATAAAAACAATTTTTAAAAAAGTGCAAAAAAAGAAAAAAGCTTGCAAGCCACCATTTTTTTTTATGGTTAGTTTGAGTATTAGAATCTTTTGAAGTCAGCAAGTTTTACTTCAGAAGCTATAAGTGCTGCTAACATTTGTCAGACTCCAGAGGGCACTTGTCAGAGGACTTAAAATAGCCCAGCGATCTGTCCAATAGTTTATTTTTGAATGTAGCTGTTATGAAAAATTCAGAGAAAATGCATGCTTCTGTGATGCGCCTAATGATGTGCCATCATGTCCCATTTCTTAATGATGCATGAGCCTGCAGCTACAAGATTGTATTTGTCATAGTACGGGTAGGTGTGGTCCTGTTCTGCTGAGAGCTCTTTATCATGGTGCGGCTGTGTCTGGCTCTTGTAAGAGTGGTAGGACTAGCTGAGTGCCTTGGTACCACCAGGTCATCTCCAAGAAGCCTGACAGTGTCCCTGAGACATGTCAAGTTCTGGTATAGCTGGAGACCGACAGAAATGTGTGTTGTGGTAAGGTACTATAGAAATACATATATCACACCGTGCATAAAATCAGTTCTAAGAGATGCTACTTTTACAGCTCCGTTGAGAGACCTTGCCATCTCTAGTGTAACAGTGTTTGTAGATCGTCTGCGCAAATGGGATGGAAGGGAAAGCATTTGAGCGACAAGTAAAATAGTCTGGGAAAAATGCAGGTGGTACTTCTGGAGTCTTAGAGTCTTGTTCTGGATATGTCTGCCCCCATTCTCTTGGTCAGCAGGAAGTACAAAATAAATTGTTGATTGGCCCAGTGCTCTTAAAATAGTGCATGTCAAATCATCCTTTTAGCCTTACTTAACTGCTGTGTCTTTTCTTCTGAGCTGTTAGCTAATATTTAACCACTATTAATTGACTTTCCTGAATTAGTTTGTTTGGAAGACTGTGGAAGATGCTGGAGGTCTCATTGTAGCTGGAAATGTGCCTCCTGTGAGTAGATGTAAAACATGCTGTCTGCTGAATAAGAAGTCATTCTGCCTTAAAGCAAAGCCATAAAGGACTTCAGACCTGCCCTCTGAGCTACTGCACTGGATGTCACTAATCAATTGCCGAGAAAAAGGGTGAAGGTTTTTATAGTCCTTTCATAAAACTTGCTGTGAAGAATTGCAGCAAAAATACCGTTTCTTCTGAAGCCGGATGAGTTTTTCCACAGAGAAACTTACTTTAATATGTAGCTATTTCTTCACAATAACAACTGTGCCATAACGGTGGATAAGACAGATTTTAATTTAATTGGATTAATTATTTTTTTTAACTATAGCCTTCTTAAAGGGTTTTTTTGAATGAATGGACACATGGGAAAACCATGAGTTAATTTTCAAAGCAGTTTGTTGTACTGCATCAAAACCGTGTGGATGCTTTTCTTCAGCATTACAGTGGCCTAATTTGATTTAGTTTATTTCACTTCCAAACTTAAGTAACGAAATCGTATTAAAGTCATTTTAATTTTGAAGGAAAGCATCCAAATAGAGTTTAACTACTCTTTTTTAGGTCATATGTTAAACTAATGCCAGTTGACTTTTCTGAGCCTCTGTGTTAAGGTTGTGCCCTGAGAGCTGTAGACCCTAAGAACTTCCACTGTCTTCAGTGAGCCTTATTCTAGATAAAGGTGGCAATCCGTGCCCAACTGTGTAATACTGTGTCACTAAAATGCAAATGTATTATTCATTTCTATGCTTACTATGCCTTAATTTTTTTAATACTGAGTTAATGAAGCTCTAAGAAAATGTTTTCAAGTAGTTTGTTGTAATAGTTTATGCACATTGTGCACATTATGCACATTGACTCTAAAAAATATACCTGAAGTATTTGAAGTACATTTACACTTGTGTTGCAGGTGGGCCAGAGTACCTGGTGGCATGCACTGCTGATTTGAATGTTAGGTGATGGGTTGCAGTAAAGCAGCTGTCGCCCACCAGTAGGTTTTAAACAACTGCATGCCAGACTCTAAGCAGGTGCTCATATTTCCTTTGACTGTCACTGTCTGGAGAAGGCAAATGCATGTGCATTTTACTAGGTCACTGGACCTACCTTGTTCTTGCAGATACCTACCCACTCTGATATTGCTCAGTCCTGGTATGTGTTTGGGGGACTGTGACCATCCTTATGTTATTTTGTGTGCTTGTCCAGGAGGGAGGAAAGCATGCAGAGGTGAAATACACCACAAGGTATGATGGCCCCTTTGTAGGGCCCATCACCTTGTTAGTGCAGACACATTGAATCTGCTGAAGGGCTTAAAATCTGATCAGTTCAGAGATCTGTTACTTGATGTCAGTTTTCCCATGGCTGGAGATCACTTTTGGAATGGGGATACAGCTGTGGAGGGGGTGCAGGAAGGATCCTTTTATCTCTTCACTGTGCTGTATATTCCTTGAAGCATCAGGTGGTGTCTTGGCATCTAGAAAACAGGAAGTTGAAAGCATGAGATACATATACATAAGTGCATTCATAGATGTCTTTTATATTGGTAGGTAATTCTGTGATTCAATGTGAGAAGATTTCTAAAGTGCTATGGTGGAGTCTTAGGAAGGTGTTGCAGAGGACAGGCATGGGTTTGTTTGAGAGGCTGTATGCAAATGTCAAATTTTCTGTCTTTTCCTGTTTTTACCAGAGGCTGAAGCTAGTGCTTAACAAAGTTAAAAGGTGTGTGTTGACCTCAGTGGTATTTTTGAAGTAGATCTCAAACCTCAAGTAAAATCCTTATATTTTGATATTCCTTTCAGGATGCTCCAGAAAAAAAAAGTTTGAGTATATCTTGGCAAATAAAAACATTACAAGTATATGAAAGAAGCCTCCAAGGCATCCTGGCATTCTGCTGGCAAGCAGAAACAAAGGGAGATGTATGCCATGCAATGTGCATCCCGATCCCAACCTGTTCTGACAGCTGCTTTAGTTTGTCTGGCATGGGTTTTCATTTTTGGTTGGTTGGTTTTGGATCCTTGAATTGTGCAGTGCACCACTTCAAGGCAGGTAGTTTTGTGAACAGTTGTTAGGAGAAAGGAAGGAAGCTGAATTCCGAGATTCAAAATGTTTACAAGAATGCTGACTTTAACATCCTACAACCGTGGAAGACAGCATTTCCGAGGCATCAGTGATATTGGGCTGGTATGGAACTGCTGAGTCACGGCCTGAACCTCTGATTGATCACCTGAGGCCAGCAATGAGTCAGCCAGAGGAGCACAGCTGAAGGCAATTCACCTGTGCTGCCGGAAGGGGTGGAGCCTGGTTCCACCTCTCCTAGACCTATTGAAGAGCTGGCTACCAGTGGGGAAGGATCTCTTCTGGAGATCTGCTCTGCTGGTGTTTTGTGAGTGAGCCCAGGATGGGGTAAGCCTTCTATTTATTCTCCTTTTGTTATCATAGTCTGCTTTGCCTAACTCCCTTGTTTATTTCATAATTATAACATCTTAATATTCATTGATTATACATATGGGCATAAGCTATCTGTTTCAAAAGTTCATTGTACGTCTGTTAACTCTGTGAGCATATGAGGGAAACACTGATAAAAGAATCAGTGAACTCAGGCCCTAATTTAGAATCTAGCAGTATGAAGGCCTCTATTTGAAGGGAGGATTTATGCTGTACTGTATTGGCTAAGCTGTTACGGGTGTATCTGTATCATAGAGATTTATATATTTAGAAATCTACTTTGTGTAACTACTGTGTATAAAGTATATACAGTATAAGTAGTAGATATATACTTAGTAGATAAATCTATAGATACATGATGGTGCTATATAATAATGTTAGGTTGTCCTATGGTTTATAAATCTTATGTATCATATCTTAATATCGCTTACATTATCTGACTTACATTGATTTTATTTATCTTCAGCACATTTGTCTGGTTTTATTAGGCACAGCTTTTAACTGCAAAGTTGTGTGAACTTGCTGCTGGACAGAACCTGAAGGTATGCTTGTCTCTGCCAAGGCAGCACTTAAGTCTTCATCTTTCAGGTCTCTACAAGACGTGTTTTCTTCTCTGGCAGCTCTTTGACATTGTGCAAGTGTCTTCTCCTACAGAGGGACTTAGGCTGAGATGACTCGAAGGAAATAGTACCATCTGGATGGATGTGAGGAGTTACTTGCAATACTGAGATACCATTCTAGAGTTCAATCTGGATACTGTAAGCCATAACATTTTTGCAGTGTAGAGGCAATTACAGCAACTGGCCTCTCATGAGAGAAGAATTTACAACCTATTAGTGTTTTCTTAATTGCTGATACAAGTTCCCCTGTCTCTCTTCATTCTTCTGTCTGTGTGCTTGTACTTATTTGAAATCCACATTTTTTGCCCCAGGTTGTTGACAGCGCTGTTGGCAAGATTAGATTCTGGTGTACAACAACTGCTATTAGAGCAAATATGCACAGTATTGTTAATCTGACTTCTAGGAAGGTGCATCTCTCAATAAAATTGTAAAGGGGAAGAATGCTGTACAAATGATTCATCATTTGCAGAGATGATTATATATCTTGTCTTCCTAAACTTGTGAGTGAATGTCTGGCATTCTCTTGATTAAAGAGGAATCCTGCTAAAATAAAAGGCATAAAGCTAAGAATGTATGCCATTAAAGTTGTAATCCAGTGATCACAGAAAAGTTAGTTCTTGTAGATTAATCTCTGTGCGTGCTGAAGAGACAGTTTTGTTTTCCTTTCAGCTGGAGATCTTGTGTCACTTCAACCAGTTCACTTATCTGCAGCCTTTTTCCAAAGACTGGAGTAAAAATAATGTTTTCTGTTTCCTTCTGCAATTTTGATGTAATTTGTAAATTCTCTGGGCTAGTGATTTCTCTTTACTGTGACCAGGTCTGCACTCATTTCTTGTGTCACATGGCAAGAACAGATAGGAGATAAACACTGGGTGCCCTGTACTAATGAAAGCCTTGATAAAAGCATTGCTATACCAGCTTAAACATGTTTTGTTTGTTTTTTCTTATTATAGCTCTTTGTGTTCTGTTGAGTTTGTTGAAGCTAAGCCATAAGCAGTTACGATGTCTGTCTACAATGAGTGATTTCCTGACTGAAGTGTAATGACAAAGTTCATTAAATATAGCTCTCATCCCGGTGTGTACACAAAGCCGAATGAATGCAATTAAGCTGTGTCATGGGTGAAGCTTAATTATAACAACAGGTGAAATCCTGCAGCCCGTTCTGCCTTTAAGATGGTACAGCCATGCTGTGCGACAAATAATCCAGCACTTTGCTCCAGCTGAGGTATTTACCCAGTCGCCTTCTTTTCTCCACAAGAAACTTCTTAAGGTAGCTGTGCTGTGCAGCATACGACCAGAAGCAGGAGGCAGCCAGTGGCATGAAGTGCAGAGCTACAGGTTCCCCCTTGTGCGTCCTGCTGGCAGCATGCTCTCCCCTCCCTGCCACAGCACAGCCCAACTTGCTGACCTTTGGTTTTGCACAGACAGGAGTTTAATTGCTTATGGATGAGTCCCAGCTGGTTGCATCTTTAAATAGTTGTGAGTGCTTGACTGGAAATAGTGTGGTTCAAAAAGGAAAAGTTCCTTAGCCATCCAACATGCTTGGCTGGCTGCGATGGCAGCCGGGGCTGTGCGCCAGGGCTGCCAGGAATGAGTCCCTTGAGTCTCAGCCAGGCTGCAGCACTGAGTGCATTTCCCAGGCAGTGACCCAGTGGCAGCTCTAATGCTGCTGTGTGCACCTGAAATGCAGTCACTGCATGGAAACCTTGCTTACCTTGGGAGTGAGACACTGCAGCCTCCATGGAAGTATGTAGATGGTGTATGTTGTGCCAGTAGCAAGCACGATTGTGGCTGTTGGGCACCATTTAACACAGGACACTTGTCAAGAGGCAAACAATATGCTGTTTCATTTTGAGCCTGCTGATGTTTTATTTATCAGAGGCAAAGTGCTACAGTTTATTCCTCACTGCTGTGGAGCAAAGGTGGAAAGGGCTCTGTGGGCTGCCTCAGAGTTGGGCCTTCTTTGTGTGGGGATGCAAAGAGAATAGTTGGTTTTGAGGAGTCTGAAATGCTTTGTTTTATTTTTGTTTCAATGTGTCCAAACCGGGCAGAGAAGTGTTGGTTAACACAGTGGGAAGCTGTTAGTTCTGCTGGATGGAGGTGAGCAATTTTTCATATGGGGTTTAGTGCTTTCTGGACTGTAACTTTTTGGCAGCAAACTACTCGCAGCATATTGAATTCTCCAGCAGAAGCGTGAGATGACACACAGGATTTCAGGTATTTCTATTAGATAACATTATCATTCTTTTCCCTCCCTTACCAAAGCCTTTGGTTTTTGCAGTGGATTTTATGCTGTACTTATCTGTTGCATTCAGCTCACCAGAGCGATCCTGTGCTTTCGTTTCTAAAATTGGACTTCACTGACATGCCACAGAGTTCCTCTGTATGCTGCAGTTAGTTGAACAAATATACAAAGCCCAGCTCTTACTGAGAGCGTTTTCTTTGAAAGGCACGATGAGATCTAGAAATTGTTCTCATCAAGCCACAAAATGCTGTTTATTCATTACAAAATGAATAGATAGTGGATGAAGCCTTGGCTGTGTAACAAAACATCCCTTAGAAGGAAGGTAGTGCCCATGGCATCGGCCAATTCATTGTGCAGGGCTGGAGTATTGAGTGCCCTGGAGTTGTTTGGCTGTCTCTATAGTCTGCGGTGTTCAGAGGATGAACTCGTCCTGCAGGAGGCCAGTCCCTGACCTGATGATTGGCAATAAATGCTCTGAGCTGCCTCTCAGATCCTCCCCCTCCTTGCTGCAGTGATCTCTTCTCCCAGTATCTGCCTGTGGTGGTGCTGCCTGCTTTCACCCAGTTGATCTAACAAATGTGCCTAAGCTGTTATTTTCATTTAAAACACTTAAAATTTAGAGTTTCAAGCAGCTAAAAAATTTCCTCAAACACAAATTATTCATTGTGGTAACTGCTGGTTGGAAATACTGTCAGTGACAATTAGAGGAATGAGCATACGAGCAGTACATAATGTAGGCAGCCTTTATTGCCAGAGTGTTGCTCTAGGAACACTAAAGGAATGCATTTATTCTTTGCATATCAGTATTTGAATGGACTTTTTCCTGTGTGAACAAACTTCCCATGGGACTTCTCCTGGAATGGGAATCTGAAAGTGAGAACTGTAATATTTAACAATCTTTAAAAATATTTGCTTGCACTTAAACTCTAGAGTTAAAATAATACCTCCATGAGCTCAGCATGTCTGTGTGTTAGTTCTGATGTATTGCAAGTTTGATTAATGCTAATTTGTGGATGTAAAAGGATTTTTTTTAGTGATGTAATTGTAACAACTGAGAAGAATAAATGTCCTCATTTAATATTTCTGTAGGTGTCCTAGTAATAGACATCCTATGTCCTAATTATATAAGAAATCACAGTGCTTGTACTGACCTGAGATCATATATACTTGTAGGATAAGAACCAGAGATAGGTAATCAGATCTCATTCTTGACATACAGCTCCAATTGTATCTAGTTACACTGATACCTCATGAAATGACCCTCTAATTTACAGCTGATTAGTAGTAATAGGTAATCTCATATTTTTGGATAAGGTTCTACTGCCTTTCTGCCCAGGGTCTCTTAAGTTGCTTACTGATGTCACTTCCTTTTTTTGCTTCCCTAAAGGTATTGAGGGTAATCAAAGGAAATAATTATCTTAATGAGTTTGTATGTTAGTAGGTCTTAACTGCCAAGGTACTGAATTTACAAAATTGTTTTATGTCTATTTTTCTTAAGTTTACTACCTGTAGTTTTGAAATCCAGAAAATAAATCCATCTGGTATTTGCTCAATAAACCAGGAACTAATTGGCTGGTTTCTGATGTACAGTTTTAAGTAATAATTCTGAAATATACTGGGCCTGTATGTGGGAGCTGTTTGCTTGTGAGAGGAGAATGTTACTGACTTCAGTGGATATTAGCAAACTGGAGGGAGTGAGCATCTTTAGGTTTAGAGAGCTAGCTGTAACTGCCTGGGAATTGCCCCTGTACAGAAACCTTTTTAACTTCTGTTATCTGATATCAAAATAAATCAGGGACTAAAAGGACTAATTTGATGGATGGAAAACAATTGCATTTTATGAAGGCTCTATGGCACAAAAGACAAGAGGATGAAACAAATGAGGCAGTCTCGTGTGCTATTTATTTACTTATTTTTGGTTGGGAGTTGATACCACTTTGACTAAAGTAAATCCTTTTGAGTATTCGGTTCTTTAAACCCTTTGCCTTAAGCAGCGCTCTCTGCTTTGCAAATTAAAATCTTTCCAATAGTGTGGTGGAGCAGCTAGGTAGTTGTGGCTTTTAATGAAGATAAATGATAATCAGAGCAGGATTTTTGCTTGAATAAGGGTTGGTGCTCTGATTCAATTTGGCTCTTGTGATTTTTAGCGACTGTAACGTCCTGATTCACGAAAGCTTCCAAATCTCAGCCTGTAGTGTCAGAGTAGAAGTTAGGTTATGCTCTGCCTATTCCTGGGGAGGGAGGGAAGGAGGGAGGGCTTCCTGCATGCTTCCCTGAGTAGAGCTGGGAAAGTGGAAACCAATTGGATTAAGCAGGTCTGGATAGCAAGATGACTTCTGGATGTAACTGACGATCTGAATCTATCTAGCTGGTTTTGTGCTTGGCTGGATTAGCACGTAGAAGGGACCAGTTAATTTCACGTGGTGTTCTGCAGTGGGAACACCAGTGTTCTGGCTGCTTTGTGAAACATCTTTCAGCGTGGTAAGAGGTGATGAAATGTTGCTGCATTGGGCTGCTGCAGGCTGAGTCCTTATTGGTGCCAAGAAATTCCTGAACGTGCTGTGAATGTACTCTGCTTCTGAAAATGCATTTTAGTGCGTCTCGATAGCAAAATTAACACCAGGTTGGAGGGGAATCTGAATGACAGTAAAATGAAACTGGATGGCAAGGATGCAAAAGGGAGAAGTGTGGGTTATATTGTTCAGTCCCAAGATGCCTGTGAGCTCTGACAGAGCAGGCTTTTGTTCACAATACTTCAGGTGTACCTCGATACACCTGAAAGCAAGACTTTGGGCAGGGACCAGAGTGTTCACATCTTAACTAATTTGTGACCAAACTGAACTTTTCAGTTTTAATGAATATTGAATCTGAAGGGCACTATTATTCCATAATGGAAGGAAGTCTCACATAGTTGCTCTTCATGTGGGTCCCATTTCTCCTTTCTGCACTGCTCTAGCATGTAGTCCCTAGCAGGCAGCAACCCATGCTGGCTGACAAGAGGAAATCCATGCTGTATATCAGTTGAGCAATATTGTTGTTCAAATGGCATTTAGAAAGTTTCTGAGTGAACTTAA